CCTCTCCCCTAAGACTAACCACTCAGTTCTCAGTCTTCAGTGAGCAGAGCGTGGTGACGGTCATCTCCAGCTCTCTGCTTTGCCCCTCCAGTGCTCACTGGAGCACTGGTCCGTGGAGGGGGCAGGAATGGCAGGCCAACAGAGGACTTTAGCCCGCTTTCAGCTGAAAATGGGTCACAGGAGTGCAGAACGAACTGCACTCCTGTGATCCATAGAAGTAGAGCTGAAAACGCTTTGGCCATTCTTCTTTAAAATGGTCATATTTGGTGGGCTGTAGTGGCCACTAAATATAACTAAGGGGATCATTTGTGCATGTGTACACCCCTGTCCGCTGCCTTTGCAGCTTAAAGATGAATTCCAAGTATGGATTTTTTTGCATAGTTACATTAAGCCAGCCTGGACCAATGTACCTATATATACATAGCTGATCCCCCTGGAAACTGGAAATCACTGACGTAGACACTACTACTCCACTAGATTCTGGGTTCTGCGCTGCATTCTGATGCTTTGCATTTTATGAATGAATGCAAAATGTCCTCTGACTGGACAAGGTGGAGAGTGTGACATCATTCCCCCCAACTCTTCATCTCACCCCTTGCACTCATTCAAAAATTGCAAAAGCATGTTGAGCAACCACTCAGACCAAGACCCAGAAGCAAGTGAAGATCACTGGAGTAGCGGTGTCTACTTCACTGATTTCCAGCTTCCAGGGGGATCAGCCAGGTATGGTATATACATACACTGCTCAAAAAAATTAAAGGAACACTTTTTAATCAGAATATAGCATCAAGTCACTTAAACTCCTGGGATATTGATTTGGTCAGTTTAGTAGCAGAGGGGGTTGTTAATCAGTTTCAGCAGCTTTGGTGTTAATGAAGACAACCCCCAAAACAGGAATGGTCTTTCAGGTGGAGGCCATTGATATTTGTTTCCCTATTCATCTTTTTTGACTGTTTTTCACAAGTTTTGCATTTGGCTAATGTCAGTGTCACTACTGGTAGCATGAGACAATACCTGGACCCTACAGAGGTTGCAAAGGCAGTCCAACTCCTCCAGGAAGACACATCAATACATGCCATTGGCAGGAGGTTTGCTGTGTCTCCCAGCACAGTCTCAAGAGCATAGAGGAGATTCCAGGAGACAGGCAGTTACTCTAGGACAGCTGGACAGGGCCGTAGAAGGTCCTTAACCCATCAGCAGGACCGGTATCTGCTCCTTTGTGCAAAGAGGAACAGGATGAGCACTGCCAGAGCCCTACAAAATGACCTCCAGCAGGCCACTGGTGTGAATGTCTCTTACCAAACAATCAGAAACAGATTTCATGAGGGTGGCCTGAGGGCCCAATGTCCTCTACTGGGCCCTGTGCTCACTGCCCGGCACCATAGAGCTCGATTAGAATTTGCCATTGAACACCAGAATTGGAAGGTCTGCCACTGGCGCCCGGTGCTTTTCACAGATGACAGCAGGTTTACCCTGAGCACATGTGACCGAATTGAAAGGGTCTGGAGAAGCCGTGAAGAACGTTATGCTGCCTGTAACATCACTCAGCATGACCGTTTTGATGGTGGGTCAGTGATGGTCTGGGCAGGCATATCCATAAAGGTACACACAGACCTCTACAGGCTACACAATGGCACCCTGACTGCCCTTATGTATCGGGATAAAATCCTTGCACCCATTGTCAGATCCTACGCTGGTGCAGTGGGTCCTGGGTTCCTCCTGGTGCACGACAATGCCTGGCCTCATGTGGCGAGAGTATGCAGGCAGTTCCTGGAGGATGACGGAATTGATATCATTGGATGGCCTCCACGTTCGCCTGACCTAAATCCAATAGAACGCCTCTGGGATATCATGTTTTGGTTCATCAGACGCCACCAGGTTGCACCTCAGACTGTCCAGGAGCTCAGTGATGCCCTGGTCCAGATCTGGGAGGAAATACCCCAGGACACCATCTGTCGTCTTAGGAGCATGCCCCACCATTGTCAGGCATGCATACAAGCACATGGGGGCCATACAAACTACTGAGTACCATTTTGAGTTGCTGCAATTAAATTTCAGCAAAATGGACTAGCCTGCTGCATCATTTTTTCACTTTGATTTTCAGGGTGTCTTTGAATTCAGTCCTCTGTAGGTTGATAATTTTCATTTCCATCAAATGATGGCGCATCCTTACGTTCTGAACACATTACCCAGTCTAGATATCCAGCATGATATTTTTCCCCATTGAGATCTGATGTGTTTTCAAAGTGTTCCTTTAATTTTTTTGAGTAGTGTAGTTACAGTGGTCCAAGCTGGAACAATGAAAATATGTATTAAAAAATCCCACTGGTGGGCGTTCAGGGCTAGCAAGGCGTTCTCTGCTGGCCTAAATACTGCCTAAACTATCAGAATCAATGACTTACGTTAATATATTTTTTTCCATGAATGTGTTATTCCCACTGTAGTCTATTCTCTTCATTCCATAGCTTTTCTCTTGCTTTTGTTGCTTCCAGTAGTATATAATTATGTTACAGCTTTTATCCAATCATATTTCAGCCATGATAGCCATCATGTGTTGCCAGGGTCAAAGATATCTGCTTTGAGGCCTTCAGAATTAACAGTCCGGGGCCTGTAGTATACAGTAAATAGCAATGAAACAGTTGCTTTCAGTAATCAGATTCTGAGTTGGCAATACCAGGGCCATCTTGCAGGCGTACAGTTACATCAGCTTTTCTGGCTGACTTGCAAGGCTGTTTTTTTTCACTCTGAGTGCTCCTTTATCCTCACGTGGCCCAAAAATGTGACTCAAAAATTGCTGGATTAATTCAGGTAGGACATCACTGAAGGCCTAGGTGTGAAATGTACGGCCAGCCACTGATACACTATATTGCCAAAAGTATTGAGAAACCCCTCCAAATCATTGGATTCAGGTGTTCCAATCACCTCCATGGCCACAGGTGTATAAAATCATCACCTAGGCATGCAGACTGCTTCTACAAACATTTGTGAAAGAATGGTTCGCTCTCAGGAGCCCAGTGAATTCAAGCCTGGTACTGTGATAGGTTGCTACCTGTACAATAAGTCCATCCGTGAAATTTCCTTGCTACTAAATATTTCACGGTCAACTGCTAGTGGTATTATATAACAAAGTGGAAGCAACTGGGAACAACAGCAACTCAGTTAGGAGGTGGTAGGCCACGTAAAATGACAGAGTGGGGTCAGCGCATGCTGAAGCGCACAGTGCGCAGAAGTCGCCAACTGTAGAGTCAATAGCTAAAGTGTCGGATGCAGTGGTGTAAAGCACGCCGCTACTGGTTTCTAGATTAGTGGAGTTGTGTTCTCTGGAGAGACAAATCACGTTTCTTTGTCTGGCAATCTGATGCACGTGTCTGGGTTGGCAGTTGCCAGGAGAACGGTACTTGCCTGACTGCATTGTGCCAAGTGCAAAGTTTGGTAGAGTGGGGATTATGGTGTGCGGTTTTTCCAGAGGTTGGGCTTGCCCCATAGTTCCAGTGAAGGGAACTCTTAAGGCATCAGCATACCAAGACATTTTGGACAATTTCATGCTCCCAACTTTGTGGGAATTTTGGGAATGGCCCCTTCCTGTTCCAACATGACTGTGCACCATTGCACAAAGCAAGATCCATAAAGACATGGATGAGTGAGTTTGGGGTGGAGGAACTTGACTGGCCTGCACAGAGTCCTGACCTCAACCCGCTAGAACACCTGTGGGATGAATTAGAGCGGAGACTGTGAGCCAGGCCTTCTCGTCCGACATCAGTGTCTGACCTCACAAACGAGCTTCTGGAAGAATGGTCAAACATTCCCATAGACACACTCCTAAACCTTGTGGACAGCCTTCCCAGAGTTGAAGCTTCATCAAACACCACTGTAATGAAGAGAAACTACAAAAAAAAAAAAAAATGAGCAGATTTATAATGGAGATGGATACAGCTATCTGCTGTACTTCAGTACATTATACACACTATGGGCTGCCTTTTACAGCCCATTCATGAAATGTAGGCAGCAAGATGGAGCATGCAGTACCCCATGGAGTGCTGTCTGCTTAACAACTGGAGGACAGCGGGTCATGTGACTTTAACAGGTCAAAGGACCAAGTACTACTCCCAGATTTTTTATCAGCTATTCAACATACAATACATCCTTTTTATTTAATTTAAATATTTTATTATTAATTTTCAGATTAACAGTTTGTACAAACAAACCATTTAAAATAGATCAACACAAAAATAAACTCACATTTGCCTAACACAATATCAAAACAATAACATTAATCATCTTTTCCCCGCTCCCAATGCCCCCCCTACCAATAAACCACATACCACCCCGCCCCTCCATCCAACTGTTCACAGCCTCTACTCTGCATTTTTCTACTCTTTCTGGAGATCCTAATCCAAGAATAAGGCCATAATAATTCTATATTAATCACCCATAAACTCTAGGATTAAATTTGACTTTTTAAATTCCTCCCATTTTTTCCATCTTATATGGAAACTCTCCATCTTATCTTCATTCATATAGTAAAGTTCCTCTAATCTATATATCTGATCCACCCTATCTACCCAATCTTTTATTTTTGGTGCCTCTTGTTCCTTCCAAAATTTGGGTATCAATCCCTTCGCTGCATTCAGATAATACAATAAACCAGATTTTTTATATTCTTTAACTGAAAGCTTAGTACCATGAAAAAGGCAAATCTCTGGGTCTTTTGAGATATTAACCTTCATAATTTTCTGAATCTGGTGTACTATTCTCCCCCAATACTCTTGGATTTTAATACACTCCCACCATATGTGATACATTGTACCTCTACCTCCACATCTACGTCAACATAAAGGTGAATTGTACCATCTTGCCAAACATTTGTAATTCATTTCTACCTCCTTCATATTTACATTCACATGAATTCCAGGGCTTAAAATTTCAAGTCCTGAGTTACTAGCCAGGCCTTAGAGTTACTCGCCACCAACAAACACACACAGAGACACCTGTACACACACACACACACACACACACACACACACACAGACATGTACATAGATACACACACAGAAACATGTACACACACGCACAGAGACACAAGTACACACACACACATACGTACAGACACGCATACACAGATACATGTACATGCACAGAAATACACATCTTCTCTCTCTCTTTGCCCCTTGTCTCTCTCTTTTCTCTCACATCGTATGGGGCTGCATACAAACACCTTCTCCAAGGGCTGCTGATCTCCGGGCAGCAGGAAGGGGGGGGGGGTTTCAGCCCCATACGATCCATCAGTGTAGGGAGGGAGGCAGGGAGATCCCACAGAACACAGCACAGCTCACCTGCTCCGGGCTTATTCCTCTCCGACACTTCTTCTCTCCCTGCTCCAGTCTGTCCCCTGGTCCCGGCTCATCAGCTGCTAGAGGGAGAGGTACAGGAGCATCGCTCTGCAACTGCCCTCCCCCGCATCGATTCTCCTGCTGTCCGGGCCACTGCAAGGCTACTGGTGCGACCCCTCTGCTGGCGGCCCTGCATGGCTCTGTCCGCTGCTGCCCAAAAGGTCCCTTCTTCTGGGGAGCAGTACCTCGAGGTAGATACGCCCCTGCCCTGGGGGACACACTCACCCCCACCATAATTTCCACTGACCATTGGCGAGCAGGCGAGTGGAAATTTCAAGCCCTGAATCAGACTATACATTTTCCTCAGCTTTTCCGCATCTATTGTTACTCCTAAATCCCTTTCCCATTTCTCTGAAATAATCACAGATATAAGGCCATAATTTATAGTGAGGATCTTATATATTTTAGAAATCCCATGTTTCCCATCTCCCTGTGTATCTAATAAGTGCCCAAAAGGGTTCCAATCTTTTTTCTCAATTCCTTATGTGAACCCATTTCCTCACCCACAATTATGTCTCTTAATTGTACATCTTCCTTCTTTATCCACTTCCCTGTGATACTTTCTTTACCTGGAGGGAAAAACTCTGTGGGCCCTAAAGGCATTAACAATGAATTCAATTCCCCCACCCCATCTGTTTGTGTAGAACATCCCAAACTCTTAAAACATTAAGTGTGAACAAACGTGTGCTATCTGCTAATCCTCTATATTGTGGAGATAACCATACAATTCTACTTAAATTACTATACCTTTGTGTATTTTCTATTTTTACCCAGCTTTTCCCATGTGCATTATGTGTCCAATCAAAAATTCTCCCCAATATTACCAAATTATAATATCTTTTCATGTCTGGCTGTCTCTTCATGACTTATTCTAGGTTTTTTATTCCTCCAAATAAATCTTAACATTTTTCTAATTATTCTAAAGTATTCTTCTGGTAGTTTAATTGGTATCATTTGAAATTTATATAGAATTTTTGGAGCAATTACCATTTTTATCAAGTTTATACGACCTACTCATGACAGAGTTCCCCCACCTAATTTCCTTAGTTCATCCTTGATCTCATTTAACAATGGGATATAATTTGATTTATATAAGTTCTTGGAGGATACAGTTAATTTTATACCTAGATATTTTCATTCTTTTTCTCTCCAAACAAAGGGAAATTCCTCCTGTAACATATTTTTCTCTCTATTTGGAAGATTTATATTTAAAATCTCTGTTTTAGTTGGATTAATTTTTAAATTTGACATCTCCCCATATTCTTTCAATGATTTTATTAAATTTGGCAATGTTATCCTTGGGTTTCCCATATAGAACAGCATGTCATCTGCATAAGCTGCCACCTTATGCTCCGTATTTCCTATCCAAATTCCTTTTATATCTATATTATTCCTTATTGTAGCCAAAAGAGATTCCAGTGATAAAACATATAGCAGTGGAGACAAAGGGCATCCCTGTCTTGTTTCGTTTTGCATCCCAAAATACTCTAATAATTTCCCATTAACTATGATTGCTGCAGAGGGTTGACTATATAATTTCCTTATCCATTCTCTCATTCTGGGTCCCATTCCCAATACTTCCAATGTATCCAACATATATCCCCAATCTACTTTTTCAAATGCCTTTTCAGTATCAATCGAGAGTACCACCGCAGGGATTTTCTCTTTCCTACTTTTTAGCATGAGAAACAGAGATATCAGTCCGTTATCTCTACCCTCTTTCCCTGGGACAAAGCCTACTTGGTCTATATGTATCCATTCCGGCATTAGGGCTTTCAACCTATTTCCTAGAACTTTGGCATATAGTTTAGTATCTGTGTTTAATAAGGAAATCGGTCTATAACTTGAACAGTGAATATCATCTTTACCTTGCTTATGCATGAGAACTACATGGGCTTGTAGGGATTCCCTCCTCATTTACATCTCTTCTCCCAATGCATTCATATATATCTTCAGTTTGGGTACTAATAGTTCTTTATATTTTTCATAGGATGTCACTATGTATCCATCGGGTCCTGGACCTTTCCCAGCTGTAGTACTTTTTAATGCTAAGTGTATTTCTTCCTGCATTATTGCTAATTCAAGGGATTTTAATTGTTCCTCACTTAATTTCGGAAATCCCGCCTTTTTTTAAGTATGTCTGTCTTTTTTCTATTTTTCCTACATCATCTTTACTTATTGAACTGTGGGGAATAATATTATATAGCTTATTATAATATTCTTTAAACACTTTAGCTATATCTTTAGTTGAATACACTAATTCTCCTTTGTGATCTCTTATTTTCTCTATATAGTTCCTAGATTTTTTCTTGCTATGAGCCCTTATTAAATATTTGCCTGGCCTGTCTCCCCATCTGTATCTCTCACTTATTTTATTAAACACTCTTCTCTTATCTTCTTACAGAAAATTATTTAATTCTTCTCTTTTATTTATTACCCTCTGCATAATCTCTTTTGTTACTCTATGTTTATGTATCTGCTCTAACTCACAGTTAGAGTTCACTAAGGAGCGTATTTATTTATTTATTTATCGAGTTTATATAGCGCCAAAGGGTTTGCTCAGCGCTGTACAATAGAGGGGGGACAATACATGAAACAGTACAGTAACATCAAACAGCACACAAGGGGTAAGAGGGCCCTACTCTTTCGAGCTTACAATCTAGGAGGGAGGGGGTAGAGGTACAGGAGGAAACGGCTATGGGGGATGGAGTGGTAGGAGGAGGGAAGGGCAGCGGCTGTTAGGTGAGGGTGGGGTAGGCTTCCCTGAAGAGGTGGGTTTTCAGGGAGCGCCTGAAGGTGAGGAGGGAAGGTGACAGTCTGATGGAGCCTCCCACACCATAGCTACAGACACTTCCCCGAAATAATTTTCCTTAAAAAATTACTCTCTTTTTTTTCATTTTTTGATCTGTCTCTGGATCCTGGAGAAGTGTCTAATTTTTTCTCTGCTTTCCATCTTCTTCTTTGCTCCAATCGCTATCAGGATTCCTCTAGTATAGGCCTTATGAGCCTCCCACACCATAGCTACAGACACTTCCCCGAAATAATTTTCCTTAAAAAATTACTCTCTTTTTTCATTTTTTGATCTGTCTCTGGATCCTGGAGAAGTGTCTAATTTAATCTCTATAATTTTCCCCCCATTCTGCTCATTTCCCCATAATAATTGCATTGTGACAGGAGCATGATCCGATATTGACATCACTTCTATTTTTACTTTGACCAGAGACTCAATAAGTTGATGATGCCCAAACATATATAATTCAGTCTTGAGTACATCTCATGTGCATGAGAATAAAACATATAGTTTCTGTCTTTCATGTGCTTAATTCTCCATATATCTACAAGTTGGCATTGGTATATAATTTTTTTCAAGGATTTCAGAGACCTACTACCATCTCTCTGCACAGGAGAGGTCATATCCATCTGAGGATCCATGCAAAGATTAAAATCTCCTGCCACAATTAAACTACCTTTTTTGAAATCCATTAATTTCCTCAGAGTATTTTTTAAGAATACCTCCGGTTTCTTATTCGGGCAATAAATATTTGCTAATGTACAGCCTATTTCCTGTAATTTTCTCTTCAGAAGCAGAAATCTCCCTTTCCGGATCTACCAATTTGTCTTCCAGCTTAAACCTTATATTTTTCGCAAAACCTATTGCCACTTCCTTGGCACGTTTAATTGGGGAATCTGCATAAAACCACATTGGATAATATCTATAATTTAGTTTCACATTTGTTTCTTGCACTAAATGTGAACTACTATGCTGAATTTCTTTAAGAATCCTGAATTTCTTCCTAGGGCTGTTTAATCCTTTAACATTATAAGTCACAAAGTGAATCTCCTCCATTCTTCCCTTCTTCTCTCCTCACCTCCATCTTCCCCCATCTCTTCCTCTCTCCTCCATATCTTCCCCTTCGATCTCTAGGATTTCTCCAGACTGATGTTTCTCTTACTATTTCGCAGAGTCTTAAACTACCTACCCCCCCCCCATACCCTCCTCTCGCCCACCCTCCCATTCCTCCTCCCCTCCCTCCCATCCCCCCTCCCTTTTTAGGTCAATAATTTGCCTATGAATCATTTGTGGTCCTAATCCCACCCTTGATTCCACTTTAGGGTGAAGCTCTGAGCATGCACACCCTAACCCCATTGAACTCCCCCAGCGTCCCGCCAGGCTAGCCAAAAAGAGGAAGACACAAACAAACAAAAAAAAAAAAAGAGGAGAGAGAGGGAGGAGAAAGGGAAGGACAACAGAGGGAATGGAGGAGGGATTAAAAAAGAAAAAAAAACAACTTCCAGCTTCAACACCCCCCCTCTCCCTCCTCCACCCCCTCCCAACATATCCTCCTCCCCTCCCATCACCCCCTTCAATTTCCCCCCCACCTGCCACCTCTCACTCTCTATATTCCACATCTCTTCCTCCTCCACACCCCACCCAGGAATATCTATGTATTGCAACTCAAGTCTCTCACAGAAGTCTCTCAATTCTTCAGGAAATTTTAGTCTTGCAGAGCGCCCATTTTTCCAACCGATTAAACATGCTGGGAACCCCCAGCTATATCGAACGTTCTGCTTCCTCATTTGTTCTAGTAATGGTTTCAGAGTTCTCTTTCTTAACAGTGTCTCTGCAGCAAGATCAGCAAAGATCTGTATGTTTATTTCCCCATATTTTATAACTATTATTATTATACAGGATTTATATAGCGCCAATAGTTTGCTCAGCGCTGTACATTATAATGGGAGACAGTACACGAGACAGTACAGTAACAATACGATTCAATACATGAGGGGTTCGAGGGCCCTGCTCCTTGGAGCTTACAATCTAGGAGGGAGGGGATAGTGGTAACAGGAGGAAATAGCTGTGGGGGATGGAGTGGTAGGAAGAGTGGAGGAGATTGGCAATTAGCTGAGGGCGGGGTAGGCTTCCATGAATAGATGGGTTTTCAGAGTGCGCCTAAAGGTGAGGACAGTAGGTGATAGTCTGATGGATTGGGGTAGGGAGTTCCAGAGGATGGGGGAAACCCTGGAGAAGTCCTGGAGATGGGCATGGGAGGAGGAGACCAGGGAACTATAGAGT